GAGAATCACTGACTTAGAAGTTATATATCCTATCAGAGGCCTAATTAGGCGATCTGCTTTGAGTATTCAAAGAGGCATGCGATGAAATTCACGATGCATTGTTTAAACACTGAACAAAAACCAGGTCCCGTACAACTGAAAAAAATAAACTTATTTAGGCTTGTATCCAACTAAAGTAAGCACTTTATTTCCTAAAGTTATTTTTGATCCTTGCAAATCATTTTTTTAAAAAAACAACAATACAAAGACAATTTTTCCAAGTGCTAACTAGGTCTTTGAAGTATAAGAATGACTTATTTGAGAAAAGTCATGTCAAATAAAAGTAAAACAAATCAAACTAAGCCTAAGCTATAAGCAACTTCATAATAATTTAGAGGTGGAGGAGCTGAGGAAATCAAAACAAAACACTGTAACTCAAGATCAAACGCGTCCCCACTTACTTCATCTCCATGCATAAAAATGCTATTTATCAAAATCTCTTAAAGTTAAAACTGGGTAAGATTCACGTCCCACTCATCCTTCTCAGAGAACTTCTTTCTTTCCTTTTATCTCTGAGCTCCGTATGTACTGAATGAAAATATTCTAAGGAAGAAAGGAACGAGGAGAATACATTCCAGAGAGGTAGACATCTGCTGAAAGGGACTTATGTACTTGGTGATTGCTCAAGTGACCCTTCCTTAGCTCAACCTCTTTACCAAATATGACAACGAGGCTATTTACAATAGAGCTGGACAAGCAGAGATGGATCATATAAAGAAACAGTTTGTAATTCAAGTCTAGTTTGAAGGGAAAAAGATAACCTTCAATGTTTAAATAAAAATAAAACTTGGACTCACCTACTGGATATTCTAGAAACATTCCCCAGGAACCAATATTAGCAAAGTCCTTTTCTGACTCACTGGAGGAACAAAATGGTTGGGCCTTCGGAGTCATGACCTTCTTGAACTCCTTCCTTCTCCTCCAGGCAACCCACCCACCCACAACACTCCAAGTAAGAAAATTTCCATACAAAAATGTGTGGAAATAGAAAGATAGGATGACTCAGGATATGCTGGCCAAAGAGATGAGACTAATTGTGACTGATGACAGTAAACCAGCCAGACACTGTGCTAAGGGCTCTGCCCCCGTTCTCTCATGTAATGCTCATGGCGTCCCTTTAACGAAGGCCACTTTATGATGAGGAACAGCGGCTCTGAAGGTGAGATGTTATGTTCCTGACAGAACAGCTGCCCAACCAAGGTAATTAATATTAACTCTTGGACTGAGAATACTGTTTGTGCTTTCAATTGAATAATGACCTTCAAGCTCCTTATATAAATTGCTTAAATCCCTAATTAAAGGGGTGGCCACCCTCTTCACACTAGTGTATTGAATATATGCAAAAGATATATAGTCTGTATCCCAAATATGAGGCCCTGGTGGTGCAGTGGTTAAGAACTAAGGCTGCTAACAAAAAGGTCGGCAGTTCGAATCCACCAGCCGCTCCTTGGAAACTCTTTGGGGGCAGTTCTACTCTGTCCTATAGGGTTGCTATGAGTCAGAATCGACTCGATGGCAATGGGCTTGGTTTTGGGTTATCCCAAATATATTGGAAAAGAAGACATTTTCTTAAAGACAGTCATGAGAAAGGAATGAACTAATCAAGGTTGATGTGGCTGTTATTGTCATTAATGGTAACATTATGTGCCAGGTGCTACAAAAACCAAAAACCAAACCCTTTGCTGTTGAGTTGATTCCGACTCATAGCAACCCTACAGGACAGCGTAGAACTGCTCCACAGAGTTTTCAAGGAGCGGCTGGTGGATTTGAACTGCAGACCTTTTGGTTAGCAGTCGAGCTTTTAACCGCTGTGCCACCAGAGCTCCAATTTTTATTATCACTAATGGTAACGTTATGTGCTGGGTACTATACTGGGTGCTTTATCTATGCTATCTCACCTATCAGTATAGTGTCATGAATAAGAGCCTTGGGCTCTGGACCAGACTGCATGGTTCAAATTCTGGATCTACATCTTACTAGTTACATGACCTTGGGTACTTAACTTCACTGTGTTTGTTTCCACCTATAAAACAGGGCTAGCAACAGTACCAATCTCCTGGAGGAGTTGGGAGGATTAATTCATGGAAATCTCAGCTCAATGAAAGCTAGCATTTATTCATTTCTCACAACAACCCTATGAAGTATTTATATTATTCCTAGTGTCTCATCCATCATATAGTTTAATTTTCCCTAGAATCACTTATTCTCCCAGTAAGACAATTGTTTCTCATTTATTTTTATTGTGCTTTAAGTGAAAGTTTACAATTCAATCTAGTCTCTCGTACAAAAATCTATACACACATTTTTAAGTGACCCTAGTTGCTCTACCTATACTGTGACAACACATTCCTCCTTTCCACCCCTGATTTCCTGTGTCCATTCAACCAGCTCCTGTCCCTCTCTGCCTTCTCATCTCACCTCCACACAGGAGCTGCCCATTTAGACTCATGTATCTACTTGAGCTCAGAAACACACTCTTCACAAGTATCATTTTATGTCCCACAGTCCAATCTAATCTTTGTCTGAAGAGTTGGCTTCAGGAATGGTTTCAGTTCTGGGCTGACAGAGAGTCCGGGGGCCATGTCTTCTAGGGTTCCTCCAGTCTCAGTCAGACCATTAAGTCTGGTCTTTTTTACTAGAATTTGAGTTCTGCACCTCACTCTTCTGTGCTGTCAGGGACTCTCTGCTGTGTTCCCTGTCAGGGCAGTCATTGGTAGTAGCTGGACACCATCTAGTTCTTCTGGTCTTAGGCTGCTGGAGTCTCTGGTTTATGTGGCCCTTTCTGTCTCTTGGGCTAATATTTTCCTTGTGTCTTTGGTGTTCTTCATTCTCTTTTGCTCCAGGTGGGTTGGGACCAATTGATGCATCTTAGATGGCTTTCAAGACCTCAGACGCCATTCACCAAAGAGGGTTGCAGAGCATCTTCTTAATAAACTTTGTTATGCCAATTGACCTAGACATACCCTGAAACCATGGTCCCCAGACCCCCACTCCTGCTACTCTGTCCCTCGAAGTGTTTGGTTGTATTCAGGAAACTTCTTAGCTTTTGGTTTAGTCCAGTTGTACTATCCCTGTAGTGTGTGTTGTCCCAGTAAAACAATTCTTTTTGCAGCTGTGGAATAAAACTGCAGCAAAAGAGGGTGTCTTAGTTGTCTAGTGCTGCTATAACAAAAATATCACAAGTGGGCGGCTGTAACAAGCACAAATCTATTTTCTCATAGTTTAGGAGGCTACAAGTCTGCATTCAGGGCGCCAGCTCCAGGGGAAGGCTCTCTTTCTGTGTTTTTAAGACACACCCTATACTAATACTGCCTCATTAATATAAGAGAATTCATTTCCAAATGGGGTTATAAGCACAGGTATAGGGTTCAGGATTTACAACACATATCTTTGGGGGGTCACAATTCAATCTGAAACAGATGGGGAAAAGAAAAAAGAGAGATGGAAAAATAGGCCAACTATAGAAAAAGGGGAAAGGTTTATAAACACCATGCAGCTCTCTTCTTCTGACATTCAGAAGAGGAAGCAGAAAGAAAGAAGAATGGGCGGTAGAGCAAAATAAAATGCAGAAACAAAAAGAAACTGTCCTTATTTATACCAACCTCCAATGTCTTCATAAGCTTAGTTTCTTAAATCACTTAACCCAGGAGGTACCTGGCTATCGAGGGTTGCTCTACTTTTCTGTTCGGCTAACTTGAGCTCTAAGATGCTATATGGCACTGTAATATGACATGTTGTTTTGCAGAAACGTTATGTTTTAAACAAAGATAAGGAGATTTTTCTGTCAGATACAACCAATAACTGAACTATGAATCGTCATCCATAAAGGACAGTAAAAAGAAAAGCAACAAAAACTAGCGTATCTGTTGACATCATACAGCCCCACAATGATGGATGTATTCAGGATCTGGCTGTAAAAGGTGCATGTGACAAAGAGAAATGGGGGAGGAATCTTCCCTACCAAAACATGTGTAGAATATTAGACTGTTACTAGTTCATCCATATTGAAATGTGTGCAATTAAAATACTGTATTTAAGCTTCCTTGTTTATCCACCCACAATGTAAAAGAGAAGAATTAATTTTTAAAAAACCGCCTAAAACCCTGAACCCTTTGGAAAGAGCACAAAAAGTCATCAGAATGAGGGAAAAGAGGGGTAATCTGAAAACAAAATCTTCGTTGGTCTTAGTATCTTAAAAAAAAAAAAAAAAAAAGCTTCTAGTCACTGGATTTATTGGTCTGACAATTTCCAGGAAGTTCTATATTTGTAGCTATAATTCAGAGCACCTTAAAGTTTCCGCTGTTGAACCACCGGTATACATACTACTAGTGGTGCCTCTCCATTAGCTGAGTGTCTACTTTGTGCCAGGTATGGCGCCAGGTGCTCACAGCCCACTCCTGATCTGCCCCACTGCTCAGTAAGTTAGTGGAATTGGATCAACAGGTTCTGACACTGATAGGGGTTGAGTAAGCTGCTAATATAACACAGCTGAGTAAATATCTGAATGGGGATTTACATTTTTTTTTAACTTGAAAGCCTGTGGCCTTTACACATATCAGTTGGGTATTTGAAACAGGTAAATGTATATACTACTCTTTTCACCAGTACCAGCTGCCATCAAGTCAATTCCGATTTATGGCAACTCCAAGTGTGTTAGAGTATAGCTGTGCTCCATAGGGTTTTCAGTGGTTGATCTTTCAGAAGCAGAGCACCAGGCCTTTCTTCTGAGGCACTTCTGGGTAGACTCAAACCTCCAACCTTTTAGTTCACAGCCCAGCAAATTAACCATTTGCACCACCAAGGGACTCTACTGTTTTCATACTTCATAACGACCATGAGTAACGCTTTTTATAGTCAGCCAACAACAGTGCCAGCCCCAGTGTAGAAATACCGAATAAATCAACACTGTTAAAACATAACACACTTAGCCTACTGTATTTAAGCTTCCAAGGAATTCTTACCTGGTGCCCCTGTGTACATGATGGAAAATACATTTATTGCTATAGTAGCAGCATAGAACACTGGAAGTGCCCGAAGGCCATTGGGAACAGGGTCCTCCTGTAGAGTAATGAGATAAAGTGCAAGGTGAGGATTCAAGGAGTATCTGGAGTCAACATAAACAAAAGAACATAAAATACAGTTCAAGAAAGTCTCCCCAAACCCTGGTGTAGCCAAAGGCTGGCCATTTCACTGCCCTGTGATATGCAGTATGTCTACGAGAACAGCCTCAGCATGGGCCGTTTCTCCTAAACAAATGCTATTTGAAAGAGTCCACTATTGTGGCCAGCAGACACGTTAGAGCACTAGAATCATATGAGCTGATGTAAGATTTAGAAACAGAAAAGAACTGTTAGTTTAGGTCAGTTCCAGGGGGCTGAGGCTCAGAGCACAGCTTCAAAATCTATGGAGCACACTTCTCTTCCTAAGTCCAATTTTTGGCCCTAAAAGTCCACTTTCAATAAATAATGTGAGACTCTAACCTCTAAGGCTGCCCTAAAATAATCAAATGACTTAAACCCACTGCATTACTACTAGATTTTCTATCAATCTATTACACGATAAATTTTAGCCATATTAAAATATTTAAAGCAAATATATCACTATGTGCTATAATTTTCAAAATCTCTTCACAAGGTGTAATATTTAACTTTCAACTATTAAAAGTTAAAAAGAACTGTGGGTTCTTTGTCTAATAAAACATTTATTTACTACTTCAGGCTCTGCTACAACATTCCTAAATCTAATACTTCAACAAGAATGGTATGACACGTTTTAGGTTAAATAATATCTGAGAGAATATTAGAAACTTCAGAGTTTTAAGCAGATTTACAAAGGACTTTTAAGCAAAAATATGGACTGGGAACTCCTCAAGGCAGCACTGGCACACGGATGTTGCTTAAATAATTTAAAAAAGGGACTAATTTCCCATAACCATGTAAGGCACTCTTACACGTTTATATGAACATGCTGCCTCTCCGTGATAAAAGGAAAATGAGGTCTAAAAATTGATGTGAGTGACAGAAGTATGGCAAAGGAGAGAATACCTCAAAAATACCTACTGCCAAATGCAAACATGTGTGGAAATCAAGTATGTTTGCAGAACAGTACTCCTCATCAAGAACCTATTCATGAATGTCAAAGTACCCATCAGCACTTGTCAAGGGGCTTGAGTTGAATGGCAGTGAGGCATAAGGAACAATAACAACAGGGGTAGAAAGTGGTTCAAATGTGTGAGAGTCACAGCCAGAACCAGGCAGGGGAGGCAGAAGAACAGCAAACATTAAGAACTAATGGGCAGGAAAGGAGCCCTGGTGGTACAATGGTAAGAGCTCGGCTGCTAACTGAAAGGTTGGCAGTTCGAACCCAACAGCAGCTCTGAGGGAGAAAAGACCTAGCGATCTGCTTCCATAAAGACTACAGCCTAGGAAACCCTATGGGGCATTCTACTCTGTCCTACAGGGTCACTAGGGTCGGAATCAACTCTACGGCCCAAATCAACAACAACAACAATGGGTGGGAACCAGGGATCAGAGGCAGAGTTAGTGATGTAATGACTGCTTGTACCACGTGAAAAGCACCCCAGCTGAACAGCAAACAAAACGTTAGGACACTCAATTGCCTACTGCCTTTGATTTCCAAAAAGTTATTTCCTTGGTGACAACAGTTGCTAAAGAAAGACTCCCAACCAAAGATGTGTGAAGGTGTAAAGTCCCGAGTTTGTGTTTTTTAACTGAATCATCTTACTTTTTTCTCAAAGAACTGATTATTAAAATTCAAATGATAAATGTCTTATTGAGGCCTACCTTCTTTCCTCCCTTCCCCTCTACCTTCCTGCCTTCCTCTTTCTTTTCCTTTCTTCCTTTAGTCCTTCTTTCCATCCATCCATCCATCCATCCATCTATCCATCCATCCATCCACCACCCATCCAAGCATCCACCATTCCATCTCAACAAATCTTCAATAAGTATCCATTAAGTGTTCAGCACAGTATTGGGCACTGGAATACAAAAGTGAACAAGACAGTCATGGTCCCTCCTCTCACAGATCTTATAGCCACATGGCAGACAGACAATAAGCAAGCAACTAAACACCATATGATGTGGTAAGTGCTACGATGAGAAAGGAGTGAGACAGGAAAAGCTTCCTGGAAGTGACACCTGAAGGCTGAGTAGAAGTAGCAGTTTGCCAGGCGAGGATGAGTTCCAGGCAGGGGTTAGAGAAGCTAGCAGGCAAGAGAGGGTAGCATCTTCCAAGATCTAAACAAATATTAGTATGGGAGGAGCCCAGGAGAAGGAATGGTGAAAAATGAGGCTGGTTATTTTGTACTAATACAAGAGAATGAGTCCTTCCATAGTTGAATAGGCAACCCTAAGAAAAACCAGTCACGTTTTCAAGCAAGGATATAACTGAAGGAAGGCATGTCCCTGATATGCTGAGTGAGTGCTACAACTATGCTCGCAGGCATGCTTTTTGGATTGTAAAATATTGCAATGATCCCTTGCTAGTCAAATTAAAAAGAAAACAAAAACAATCAAGTCTCTTTCTATAATATTGATCTCAGTAAGTTTTAATTTTAATCTCATTTTATTTTTTAGATAAAATGCACTCTCAATAGGTATAGTTTCTTTTTATCCTTTCCTCAAATCAATTCAGTGTTTCAAGCTTGCTTTTTCTGTTAAAAAATAGAAAACACCTTTATATTTAGGTAAGGAAATTATCTAGATGTTTTTAATGACAGCCAATTTAAAAATCTTAGCACTGTCTTATTCCATTCAGTTTAACATTCAGGAAATAATTACCTTTCCTTTCTGAAGTCTGAGCACAATGCCTGGGGGTACTGACTAATGAACTAAATCAGCCAGCCCAAAAACACTATCTGTAACGCTGGCTCCTGGGGAGTCCCTGAGTAATTACCTTGACTCTTTCCGGCTACTGACTCCAGAGTGCTGTGCCTTAACCATGTGAAAATACAATTATTCCTCTATTCTACTATTAACTCCTATCAAGTAGAACTAAATTAGTTCTAAAATTTAATAAAATATAACAGCCTCACTTACCTTCTTTAAGATGAAAATTCTGATCAGTACAAACAGCACACCAGACATGAAACCAGACAACAGTGGAGATATAAACCAAGAAGCAACTGAATAATAAAAAAAAAAAAAATTAATGTTAAAATTCTACATAGTTATGGCCATATAAAACAATGATAACCAACATATATTAATAGTCTCTGAAATATTTATCTTAATTCATAACCTAACAAACGCTTGGCAAAGCTGACCTTCACATTATTATAACTATACTCAGACACACACACATACACACTGTCACACATAACTGAAAATATGACCAATGCACAGTCAAGTAATGATTCTCCCGAGTTCTTGCCTCAGAAGACACTTCTTTGATTCCCACTGAGCCCCTTTTGCCTGCTCTTCTTATCACTGTACATGGAGAGTCCTTGTTCTACTAGCAAGGGTCATTTAAAAGGTAGGCCACCTTCCATTCTATTTTCTAGGCTGGCACTTTCATTCCTGACATCTAACTATTGGGGCTGAAACGTTTAGCGTCTACGTTAATACTTCCCAGCTCTGGCTGTACGTTGGAACTATCTGGAGAGCTTTCAAAAACTGGTTATGCTCTGGCCCCACCCCTAGCATATGATTTAAAAGGTTTGGAACGGGGTTTGGACATTGGTATTTTTAAACCACTCCCCCAGGGTAATTCTAAAGTGTATTATAAAGCTGGACTTGAGAGCCACTGTTCTAGAAGTCTGTGATACAAGGCGATTTTCCTGGCAGTCTGTGTCCCTGTTTGGCAACACAGGGATCCAGTTTGACCTAGGGCTCCTGAGGCCACTGTGACTCTGCTAAATGGATGGAGATGGGATGAACTGAGGAGACCCTGGTTAAGAGCTATGGCTGCTAACCAAAAGGTGAGCAGTTCAAATTCACCAGGCGCTCCCTGGAAACTCTATGGGGCAGTTCCACTCTGTCCTATAGGGTTGCTATGAGTTGGAATCAACTCAACAGCAACAGCAACAGGTTTGGTTTGGTTTGGGATGAACAAGTATTTGTTACAGTGGGTGGGCTGAATGGACTTACCTCTTGCTAAAAGTCAGAACCGGGAAGTAGACTGTTAGATCTCTACAAATGGGTACACACCTATGTCTTGTTTCCCACTGGGCAGGCAAACAACCTAGAAGGACCACTAGAGTGCTGTCTCTCTAGGGGCAGAGGGGATGATCTCCTGAACGCAGTTCACTTTGATGCTTCCTCTTGATCATGAACTCTAACTCTTGGACATTTAAGGCATTTTCCTCACCTGGGCCTAGTTTTTCTCTGACCTACAGACAGATTTCATTTAGATAAAGTTCTATTCTGCCCGGGAACAACAGCTATATGCTGATTTTCAAAGCTGGATGGCAATGTAACATTTGAAAAGAGTTTTTGGTGTTAAAAAGCTATCTAGCACCTAACAGCTCACAATTCCATTAATAGAAGCTTTAAAGGATAAAGCACTACCCATATAGATCTTCTAAACCTTAACATTTGTAGGAAAAATATATTACAAAGGTAACTTTTAGCAAAATTTACGCTAGAAAATGTAAATTTCCTTCTTATAGGTAAAATAAAATGGCAATTACCAATCTTGACAAGTTCCATCCACTGCACACCTTTCGTACCAATTGCAACAAGTGAGAATCCTATAGTAGAACCAACAATGCAATGAGTTCCTGAGATTGGAAGTCTCAGAAAGGATGCAATTAGCTGCCAAACAGCTGAACCTATAGATTGAAAGAGGGGGAAAAAAAGAAAATCAGATACAGAGTCTCCAACAGTCAATTTTGGAAGAAATCCAAAATTGTTGTTCATAACAACATCTCCCTGGGTTTAATTTTCTATGGATTGTTTCTTTACAAAGTGCAGAAGTCCTGATAAAAATCACTCAATTAACTCTATTCAAGGGATCATTCTTCAACACTGAAGGGATAATGATGATTCTGTATTTGAAGAAAAGTCTCCAAATGCCAGTTATTAACTGCCTTTGTCAAATTTCAGTGAGGGTGGTGAAGATAAACTTGTTCTGGTATGAAGTTTGGCCAAAACCAAGCAAGAGATTAAAGGTTCTAATGAACACAGGAAAACAAGAAAGGCGACATACTGGCAAATAGTTTGTTATAGTCATGCCTTCTGGTCACAAAATAAGGATAGTTACATACTGGCTATGTCACAGTAATCTGTACAACCAAAAAAACCAAACCCACTGCCATCAAGTCGATTCCAACCCATAGCAACCCGGAAGGACAGAGTAGAACCGCCCCATAGGGTTTCCAAGGCTGTAAATCTTTACAGAAGCAGACTGCCACATCTTTCTCTCGTGGAGTAGCTGGTGGGTTCGAACTGCTGACCTTCTGGTTAGCAGCCGAGTGCTTTAACCACTACACCGCCAGGGCTCCTCTAGTCTGTACAAAAGAGCACGTAATACGACATTGTTTTGCGTTTTGCCTCTCATGTGAGAAATAGCCAGACATTTGACCCAAAGTCAGGCACTGACTCCAGACCCTGCCCAGATTGCTGGGCCTTTTATTTGTATGCTCCTCATACCTTCTAATTCTTAGGAGCTAAGGTGATCCCTTAGTTCTGGCACTGTGTACTTATACCTCAATTTTACCACTCTTTTCCAGACTTAATATTTTTCTAGGCTACAGTTCACTTGAGAATATTTTTATAAGCAGATCAAGTTTTGCTGTGAGTATTAAAAGCATCAGCTGGGACAGATCACGTTCAGAAACAGTTGCTGAAAAGCTCATGCAGAACTGTAAAGGAGCAAAGGGCTTGGCTGGTACACAGGGCACATTTTTAATCCCGGACGTTAATTCTGGAAATCTGGTTGCTTGGCAGCAGCAGCAAGCAGCAGCACTTTTAAGCAGACCCCTGGCATTTCCTTCAAAAATATCTGAGTTACGGAAGGATCGCCAACGGCTGTACCGGTCCTAGGTTGTGAAGCAACACTGACAGCTGCTCCAGTGAGTCTGGGCGTGATGACCTTCGAGCCGAGGTGGGCTGTGACCCCAGGTCCATGCCCAGAGCATGTGCTGGGAGGAGCAGGGGCCAGCCCTGTACTGCCAAACCGGTGACAGGCTCCACGGCAGCACCCAGGCTTCCCTGTGGACGGCTCCTTAAGCCTTCCCAGCTGAGCCCTGGGCTCCCCAGGGTTGTTTTAAAAACAAAACCAGAGTTTGGAGAATGTTTCACGGCATAGGATCCTAACTTGAAAATAAACCTTATGATTTATATTTATATCAAATTTAAAATAATCGAATGATGTAAGAGAATGGGATAAACTCACCCAACTGAATTTAGACCATGAGATTTCTTTTTGTGAAAGCGGCTATCTTTTCTCTGGCTGACTTTATAAAATATGTCCTGGAGCAGGAGAGTTTATAAAGAAAGGTAGGAAGTACGAGGACTGCCTGAGAAAGAGAAGAAGGAAAGAGAGAGGGATGGTGGGAAGGAGCAAAGAAGCACCTGAAAGAAGAGGAAGGAGGAGGCAGTATTTGTGTCGGCGTGTAGCAGGGGGTGAGAGGCCTCCTTAACCTTAGGAATTTCTGAAGGTAAATGGGATTACCTTCAAGAAGAGTAGTGGGATAAAGAAAAAAGATATTTTAATGTAAAATAGTGGCATGCTATGAAGATTAAATATGTGCAAGACAAAACCTAGGGGAATGGGGGAAAGATGGGCATCTCCGAGGCAACAGTCCCTGGGAAGATGAAGGAAATAGTAGAGAAAGGTTCAGGGTTGTGATGAAGGAGGACAGGCATAAGGGCAGAGCAGAGGAGAAGGCAGAGTAGGGGCAGTGGCAGGGAAGGGCTCAGCATACAGTTATGGGTATTGAGGGCGCTTTAAGGGGACTGTGAGCTTCTTAAGGTGCTTCGTGTTGTTCTGGGTATTTGAGAAGATGCTGAGTTTTGAATTGTCAGATTTTTGGAACCACTGATGGTTTCACACTAAGTGGGTTGACTGTTGCTTTAGGGATGAGCTAGAGCCCCAAAAGATAACATGTACAGGAGGTTTAGCTAGCTTGACAATTTCTTCTACCCAACTAACCTAACACAAGTCTGTCAGAAAGCACAGAGGCCCATAGTCTTGGGGAGAAGATTCTAAAGGAAAAGAGCAAAAATAAAGTAAAATAGAATAACAGCAGAGAAAGAAGGAGAAGAAGAAATGGATGTTGAATTTAGAAGAGGAAGGCAGGGAGAATTCAGGCATCTGGACAGAATCAGCTTTGGTTTTGGCCAACAATCATTATACCACCACCTCATATTTACAAGGTTGCATTTGCAAGGAACCCAACTTTAAAACTCTAGGTAACTCATACAAATTCCCGACAAAATAGACTTTGAGATTCCTCCAAGCACACACCAGAAGAAAGAAACCAAAGCAAACAAAATCAAGTTATTTAAGCAAAACCTCAAATTGCTTTGGTAAACCTAAATTCTAGTTGAGGTAAGTATCCTTCATTCTTTCAGGAAAGAGCCAAAGGCCAGGGTGGGAAAACTGAAAAAACTGGACAAGTTATACTGCCCACATGAAAAGTAAGCAGTGACACGAAGCTCAGTTCACAAAGCTTTCTGTCTTACCGAGGTCCTCAGCAGATCCTATCAAATCTCTTTCCTCAAAAGTTTTATCCAACAGAGGAAAAACTTTTTAAGATTTCCTTTTATCAGTGTGTTTCTTTATTTCTTCCGTACTTTCAACACATCTTGCCCACATCATCCTGACTGGTAAAACTCCTAACCAGTTTGGTATGGTTAAGTCTCAGCTGTCTATCACAACTAGTAAGGGTGAATTTTACAAATAACTGTTATTTTTATAAGAGAAATTTTATGTTGTCTTTAAGACACAAAATGTTCAGTTGAGAAATAGGAACCCTTAGTATACATCACCAGCCTGCTGTGCTTAGTAATATTTAATACCTTAGTATATTGGTCTGTTTATGATCAGATGCCTCAACAGCTTCTCAAGCTAATTTGCCGAAAGAAAAAGAATATCGCCATCTTAAATTTGGCAAATAATCTCCATATTCTGGGTGCTTAAGAAATGCTAATGATATAATAACTAGGGACCTGTGGAATGTAGCTGTGTTCTTGGTATGTCAGCATCTTAACTCCTACTGCAGGACTCTTCCTACAAAAGGATTTGTCCTGTTGAAAGCAGGTGGTACAACTCCTCTCTAACCCTCTTCTCCCTAACCAAATTACCCATATAGATCAGCTGTCTGCTGTGACGTCATCTCTACCTAGAGGCAAGCAGAGAGAGTCCTGTCAGCTGCACTTACGACATGCCTGCCTAGAATTTTCTTTTCAGCTGTAGCAAGGGAAGTAAGGGAAGCGCCCTCACAGTGCTTCAGGTCCATGGCTGCCTTGGGAATGGAGAAACTACACCGCACCACCAGTAAATTTGCTTATTAACAAATTTCACTTACCTCAGTATCTCGCTTTCATCTAAGCAACTTAAAACTACCAAGAACAGCTCATACTACAAATAGGTGACATACAAATTGCTTCTGGCGGGAAAATAAAGCGAACATACCAAATGGAGCTCCCAGAGGTAGAATCAGAAAATCAAAACAAAAGGATTACGAACACTGTAGCACACCAGAATTTCTTTAAACATAAGCACTTAATTAAGATTCATTTGGCAACTGTTCTAGCATTTAAGCTGAGAATATAAAAGTCAAATTAATAAATATTGTTCTATGGCATCCAATGTTTCAAAACTTTGCATCCTAATTAATAAAAAAAATCTAAGAAAATATATAAATTAATCTTAAAGGAAAGTTCACAAGTAAACCTTTAACATAATAACTTAGAATGGTTATTTCTTTGGTAGCTTCCAAACCACTATAAAACTATATAGCACTATTCTATAAATACCTTTTTCTGTATTGTATGAAAAGTATTCACTAAGTCAAAATCTATTTTAACAATCACATTTGCACAAAATTGGAGAAAATAAATGTTTGCTTGATATATAAGCACTAAAAAAAAAAAAAACAATTAAAATGCAGAAAGTAAAAATGAGACAGTAAATATGAAACATTAAACCACTTTTCAAAAAGTTAAAGCAAAAATCACATTCATGGGTATGACAAAATTCTGAGCAAACAGGTCAACCGACAAATGTCTTGTCAGTGTTAAGAATAAAGCTACTTACCAACCATTGCACTAACTTCCCCGGCCATTAGTGTTTCTACCGTCTCATTGTATAGGTTCACATCAATGATACCTTTTCGAATGGTCTCTCCAACTTTGGCTCCCAACAATACTGAGCCAGTGGTTTCAAATATTGAAGCCAATATGCACGCCTGTCTCAAGGTCACCACGCCAGAGCCCACAGCAGTACCGAATGAATTAGCAACATCGTTTGCACCAACAGAAAACGCCAAGATAAAAGCTATAATGAAACCCAAAATGACCATCCACAAATACTCCTCCATGGCCATTTTGGACAGTGGGCTCCAGCTACTTTTCTTTTGCAGAAATATTTTAAATAAAAGCTTGAGGTTATAAACTTCGTAAGGCCGGGAGTTCTTGTAAACAGTGAGTTTGCTCTGGAAACTACTGGGCAATGTTGGAGCCTGAACAAACTGCTAACTGCTGGTTTTCAAACTACTGTCAGTACAGTTCATTTGGTTGTGTTCAGTCAGCAGTAAAACACATTCCATATTTTTCTCCCAATCTGGGGAAGCTGTGATGTCTCCTCCTGTAACACAAAGAAAACAGAAGAAATCAATTACCCAAAGCAACCTGTAACAGTTCGTTCTTTCAGAAATAAATGTTTTAAGCCTGCTAATGGGATCTAACTTTGGCATGTGATGGTTCTAACCATAAAGCAATTCACGGAAGATTACATAATTAGGTTAACCCCCCAAAAAGCTGGTTTCTGGAGTGTCAGAGGTTGAAGCATGTTTTGTAATTATAGACTGATAGTACACCTTAGCAGGATAAGTATTTTTTTTTTTTTATGCAATTTGAAAAAGATATTTGGTCATTATTTTTTGAAAGGGACAATTTCCTCCAATGAGCAAGAGATAAAGCAATGCGAAATTCAGTCATACAGTTTTTCAAACACATGGAAGGTGCCTAATTTCTTGGAGCAATTTGGTGATGCCACAAAGTGTGGTGAATTATCTTCCTGCATGTATTCGCGTAGGGAATGAGCCACTTTACGTTATGAGTAGTACACTGTGTGTCTCTGAGAGAAGATTCACAGGTTCTGGTACAAAGTGACTCATTCAGACAGTGATAAAGGTGGGGACTGAAGGTCCTCACAGGAAGAACAGGGAGGCTGGAGAATGAAGCAATCCTGTTAAAGCGTGAGTCAGGTCGTGTCACTAGTCTGATGACTTTCCATTTCACTCAGAGGAAAAGCCAGAGTCCTTACCGTGGCCTGTCCGACCGTTCGCATCTCCTGCTGGCTCCCGCCTCACTCACTGACCTCAGCATCTATCTCACCCCCATTTCCTCACTCTGCTCCCACTCACTGGCTCCTTGCTATTCCTTGAAAACACCACACACACTTTTGCTTCAGGGCCTCTGAACCTGATAATCCCTCTGGCTGGAAAAATCTTCCCCCTGACAGCTGCACAGCTCGCTCCTCACTCCATTTAGGTCTCTGCTCAAATGTCACCATCAGAGGCCTTCCCTGACCTAACTAAAATAGCAGCCCTTCTCTCTGTGCCATTATCCATGTCTCTCACCCTCTCTTTTCTTTTTCTACTTACCACCTGACCTTTTCATTCACTCATTCACTCACTTATTATTGTCTCCCCTCACTAGAACATAGGGACTTTGTTTCATTTGCTGCTGTACCTCTAATACCTAGAATAGTGCCTGGCACATGGTAAGCCCTGAATAAATATGTTGAATGAATGAATAAAGAGGTTATCAAACAAATGAGAGAGAAGTACTGCTTCTTTCTCTTTCAGTGAGGAAGGAGAGGAGATGCTACAAAATTAATCTGTGAAGTGAAAACATCACCAAAAGCTTCTGAACTACAGTATTCTATTACTATATAAGCAAGGTACCAAATTTCTATAGTTTCTTTGAAAGGTTATTAGGCATGTAGAATGGTGCCCAGCACAATGTGGTTCCTAATGGAGGTTTATTGAATTAACTGAATAAATTAGGCTCATACACCATGTTATATACAATATAATACTTTGATCAACCAACAGTGTTATCTAGGAAAAAAAGCAGGGCACAAAATTTTATATACATTGTGATTATGGCAACATTAAAAATGCATATAAAAAACACCAAAGGTCACATACCAAAATTTAACAGTGGTTGAGTTTAAGTGGTAGGGTTATGGATAATTTTTTTTTCTTTTTTGCTTTCCTCCCCAAATGGTATACTGTGGTTATTCACTTTTCAAATTAAAATAACATATAACAAACAAATCAACAAACATATAGTGAGCACCATCTATGTATGCAATGCTACAGACACATAATGATATAGAAAATGTATACTGATAGATCTTTTCCTTTTCTAAGAGTTTAGCCTATGCAATTCTGGAGATTCAGATGTCAAGTGAGACAAATGAACAGATCGTTCTAATGGTAAAAGGCAATACTCCACTGAGAGAGTATTTTACTACTAGGCACATTAAATCTACAAATGACAATACAAAATATTATTTTGAACGAATATTATCTGTCTTTAAATATAAGTAAATTCTTTACAAAAGTCTTGATTTGTGTCGGGCTAGGCTGCCAACAGGGCCAGCAAGAATCATGTTCGCAGATATTTGTTGAGAACTTCCTTTATGCCAGTCACTGGGAAAACAATGATGAGCAAAAACGGGTGTGGTCTTTGCACTTACGGGGCTTACATTACAGTCCAGTGAGGTAAACAGACACTAATCAGATAAACACATAAATAAATGTGTAATTATAAACTGCAGTACGTGCTATGAAGGAAAGGGACACAGAATCCTCAGAGAACAGAACAGGGGCATGACCTCATCTAAGAGGGCAGGAAAGGCTTACCTGCGATCTAAGGATGTTGAGAGTTGACTCTGGGACTGGAGGGGGCATTCCGGGCATTTCCCATGGTAGGAAGGGGCAGGGTGAAGAAAAGAAACTAGGGGCAAGCCAGTGTGAGGGAAACCATGGCGCAAGTTGAGGTGGGCCATATTAGAGACATGGCCACCATGAGAACAATGGCCTGTCGTTGAAGGGTTTCAATCAGAGAGGCGCTGATGTGACCAGACCGACATCTTTAAAAGATGGTTCTAGTGACAGCGTGGAGAACGGACTGGAAGGAAGCCAGAGTGGATGTAGAGAGACTAATTATAAGGCTACTGCAGCGGTTCAGACACAAGATGATCTCCTGGACCAGGGTGGTGACGGTAGATAGAGAAGTGAAATGAGTTAAGAGGTATTTCAGTGGTAAAAATCAACAGGACTTGGTGATGATTTGTATATGTGGGCTGAGAGACGACAGATGGTTACTGACTGGTGGAACCGGACTGGAAAACAACTGAATGGGTTCTTCCCCCTTTTGTGATGTTTTTAGTTTTGTTTTTTGGTGGCAGGATAGGGTTGGACCACAGGTTCACTTTTTGACATGTGGCACATACAGGTAAATCACAGGAGCATAGCAGACAACGGTGTCTGGTGCAGGCACCAAAAGTAACTATAACCTCAGCCTAGTTTTCACTGAGGAGGTTACTAATCATCTGTATGTTACCTTTGGCACTGTTTCAGAGCAAGGATGCCCTCTCCTACTTAGATCATCTTAGATGTTAAATTTCCAAAACTGTGTCTATGTTCTTTAATTTGGCCTTTCTCCTACACAATCAACATCCTAAGCTAACCAGCTTAAGTCTAACAAGCATCTGGTTGAGGAGAAAGGGTTGTCACTGTTTGGAGACCTAAATGTTTATTTTTGTTGTTGTTGTTATTGATTTGTGACTTAGGAGACCCCACTGTTACACAGGAGAACTGCTCCATAGGGTTTTCTCGGTTGTAATCTGTATGGAATCAGATCACCAGGCCCGTTTCTTTCGCGGTGCTCCTGGGTGGGTTCAAACTGCCAACCTTTTGGTTACCAGCCAAGTGCAGACTTTGCTATCCAGGAACCTTGAGACCTAAATGATTTCTATCTTTATATCAATCATGTTCTGTTTACTAGGCCTTTTTTTTTTTTTATTGCCAAGTACAACAGTTTGATTTCCTCCCTTTTCCATTAATTTTTATCAAACATCAAGAAAATTAATTAAAACGCTTAAATAACTACACAAACTGCTGTATAGACAAAGATGGCACTGCTGTTGAAACTGAGCTGCTGGCAGGCCAGAGAACCACCATGCAGAAGGCTAAAATGTTGACTTGTCAAAAATAAATAAAAGTCCAAATTCCAAGAGGTTGAGGTACGATCAGGTATGATACGTAAGCATCCTGGATGTTTGAAAGTTGGATTTTGAACACTGGATTTCAAATCAATGGAGCAAGCAGAGCTTATTCAATAAATGATGTTAGAACAACTGGCTAACTACCACTATCTGGGGTGGGGGAGAGGGATGTTAGTTCCTCACTAACACCAAAATAAATTAAAGATTTAAATGTAAAAACTGAAACCTTAAGAGAATAAGAAAAACACAGGTAAATATTTACTTAATATTGGAGTAGGGAAGCCTAAGCATGATATCAAAGGTAATTACACATTTGAGCTCATAACAATCATGTTGCTGGGAGACAGAAAGTTCTGAAGTATGGAAACAGCACATGGAAATGTCATTTCTCTTCCTCAGGAAAGAGTCTCCACAAAGGACCAGTGCTATTTAGAATTTCCAGCTAATGCCTTGATTCTTTCTAATGCCCCTATACAAGGTGTTTTCTGAATAAGGTCAATATTACTGAATCAGAATACTAAGGAGAGTTAGAACGAGCTTCTTAACCTCTTCTCTCTCCTTCCTCTAGTGTGAACTAACTAGTAACCAGTTGCCATAGAGTTGATTCCAACTCATGGTGGCCCTATGTGTGTTAGAGTAGAACTGTGCTCCATAGGGTTTTCAATAGCTGATTTTTTGGAAGTAGGTTGCCAGAGCTATCTTCCGAGGTATCTCTGGGTGGGTGTGAATCTCTAACCTTTCAGTTAGCAGCCAAGCACATCAACCATTTGCACCACTAGGGACTCCTATGAGAGCTCTCAGTATGGCTGGAATTTGGGGACTGAAGGCTACAAGATAGCCTTTAATTTTCAAATGCCACTGTCCTCCTGCATTCGAGGAACAGAGATCTTAGAGTATTCTGCAAGACGTATTAATGGGTTTCACAAGTCTTGTCTTCCAAACTTGTCATATGTTAACAAAAGCTCACTTTCTTTGAACAGCATCCTCGATGCTTTCTGAACAAGGGGAAACATCTGCATCAAGTCTACCTAATATCCTCTTATCTTCACTAGGAATCTGCATTTTAAAGAAAAAGTGAAAACAAACATTCTCAGAATATTTCTGGACAGATGTTTACCCCGTTTAAAAACAGTTATGTTGCTGAAGTTGGAGAACTTAATGAATGGACTTTTTGCAAAAAGAAATCTGGGTTGAAGGGTCCTGCTCTGGAATACAAGACCCATGACTTTGTGTATGGGTCCAAGCAAAACTGGGCTGAGGAGATGTCTGGTTTTGGTTCTTCCCTCCAGCCACCCTTCTCTTCTCCCAGCTTCACAGTCCAATCATCTCAACTGTTTCTACCA